CGATTTTTAAACAAAACGGTTATACAGTTTAAAATTACATTTTTTACGTCATCTTAAAAAAATATTCTTCAAATGGTGATGATAATAAATTTAAAACAAAATAATAATACAACAATAAAAATCAATATTTGTATTAAACTGACGATATATATTTCTAATATTTTAATAGACATATTGATTTATTAATTTTATATTTTTTTTCTACAAAAATAGACATAGATTTGGAAGGCTATAATATTGAAATTAACGATTTAAAGAAATTATTCTGAAATAAAATTATTTATAATTATTATAATGAAAAGCAATTTAAAAATCTTTGTAAATTTTGGTCAAAAGACTCATAGATTATCGGTCAATTATGAAATATTTAGAAGAAAAAACCATGATAATTATTCAAATATTAAGTATATAATTGTGTCAATAAGGTGAAAATGGATTGTATAAGTCAATTATGTTATAAAAATGTTTTTTAATAATTTCATTAAAAAAAACAATATTACAGTGTGGACGTGGAATAGTTGGGACAAGTATAGATGATATCTGAAAGTGATTAAAATCACTATTATAAGATACTTCGTCGATGCAAATTTGTAGATAGTGTTTAAAAAATTGATGGATTAATTAAAAAACAAAATGAAATCTTATTTCCTTATATACATCATTATTACAAGTATTATGATGTATAAGTATAATATATGAACAAATATTTATTATAGCAATTAAATATAGTATGAAATTGATATTTAATAATTTAGTATTGTAATTCTTACGGAGAAATTATAAAAAATTATTTAGTATATATTAAATCTATGACAAACATGTATAAAAGTTTAAGGGCTTGATGCAATACTTCTCAAAAAAAATTATTTGTTTCTTATAAATAAATTTATTAGTCTACAAGGAATTTATATCAGAGACCAAAATATACTTTTCTAAACCCATTTTTGCGCCTATTTCAAATCTGCAATTAAAGTTTCTCATATGGACTATATAATAACAACATCCTTCTAATTAATATAACAAGTATTTATTTTTGATAATTATGTTACGTATGAATAATCTATAAATATATTTTAATTAAAAAAAATACGTAACAAGCAGAATATATAATATGCAGTATATCAATATAAATAATTATTTAAACACCACGAGTGCATAGAAATACTTAGTAAGACTTCTATTTAAACAAATTTATTAAAATAAAACATTTTTAACGAAATTTTGAGTTTTCCTCATAAATTTATTGTTAATAACAATTAAATAAACTAATGATCACATATCAAAAAAAAAAAAAATTTTATTCCTGATAAAATTTTCTATGTAATATATAATATGTAATGATATAAATTCTAAACTTGCTCGTTGATTTAAAATTGTGTGTAAAAGTTCAACAATTTTAAGTTATAAACTTTCATAAAAATCAACTTTAAAGGAACAAAAAAATAAGTTAAATATATCATTTTAAATTGAAAATTTGCACGTATTATTTTTAACATATTAAAAATGAATAATAATCTCAAAAAATGGGTGATTGAAAAATTACAATTTTTAACTTGAAATCAGTGTAAAAATTTGGTTAAGTATATATTGATCTATAACTATTAAAATACATTTTATTCTACTGATATAATTTTACTGTGTACTTTAGTATAAAAACGAATTTTATACTCCTATTAATCTGGAGATTTTTAATTAAAAAAAGGTATTTTTGAAGCGGCCATTTTTTACAATAGCCTAATTTTGAGATATTTGTCTGAATTTCTAAAATTACACCAATATGAGCTAAAAATGACAATTAAAGATAAAAATTCAAAGCAGATTTTCTTAACTTTAAAAAGGCAAAATAATCAAAATAAGTATAAATTTATATTTAATGTAAGTGTGATTCATGTAAATTTTATAAAAATTGGTGGACTAATTACTAGAGCAAACCTTTATTTTGAAATAAACAAAATAAAAATAAAATTTGAACACAAAAATAGCATGTTTTTTTTATTGATGGCAATCATTTACACGTAGAAGATAAGTCGTCGGCAAAATTTTTTTTTTTTAACTTACAGAACGTAACATAAGCTTTAATTTACACATATATTTAAAAAATGCAGTATTTCCGAAAAAAAAATTAAGTTAAAAAAGTTGTACTTTTTATATGTATTTTTCAAATTTTGAACGTCCCCGTATAAGAGGAAATTATCCGATTTAAAAAATAAGTATGTCGGATGATAGAGATATGTATAAACGAATACAATATATGTATATTTCTTAACGAAAATTCGTGTAGATTTTCAAAAAAATTATATCAAATGAAAGGGAAATACCTAATGTTTCTATACAAAAAAAAAATTATTTTGGTACGTTAATTTTTAAAAAGTTATGGTAGATTTAAGAGGAAAGAATATCAAAATTTACCGATTTTAAAAATTATAATGTTTTGGGAAATTTCCTCCATTTACAGGAAACGAGGAAAATTATTTCAATTATTAAGAGCAATGTCTTCAACTAGATACAATTTGTGATATATTGACGTATCGTTGAAGAAATCAGTTCGGTAAAAGCTGAAAAAAAGTCGACACAAAAAAAAATGGTAAAATTAATACCTTCTCAGCTTCGCATCAAAGCTAGAAATCGTTTTTTATCGATTTCAGATTTTATGAATATCCCAATATTATCTTATAAGAATTTTATTACTAAAATAAAATTTGTTCTTTTTTCATTATTTCATTTATATATATATATATATCTAAATTTTAATTTTTAATTTAATTTAAGTTATTCTACTAAAAATATTTGATATTGATAATTTTTTTTTATTTATTGTAATAAGTAAAAGAAAATTGTAATTAATCTATTAACAATATTTTATTATGTTAGCAATATTTCTTAATAGTATAATAAAAATAATATGTAATATTAAGAGTAAAATTTATAAATTACCGGATTTTTTTTATATGATCACTAAAATCTACCAAAAAATAGTTTAACCCGCTTTTTAGCTTAGTAACAATCAAGGAGACCGAGTTTCACACATTAAATTTTTGCCCCCCTACTATGTAAAAAGTAGTTCCGGCGCCCCTGTGTGTATATTAAAAATATTATACTAATGTATGGGAATTTTCGGATCATTTCTTACAGTTAAGAGAAATAATGGTAACAAAGATTATGAACTCATATTTAATAATGTCTATTATCTTTTTTTACTAGCTTTAAATTATTTTTAAACAATTTATTTACAGTAATAAATATAATCTAATAAAAATCAAAACTTTATTACTGATTAGTGTAATATTTATCAAAAATTAAAATATACAATTATTTTTATTTTTTCAGTATATTAAAAGTAAAGATTAATTTTTAAAAATAAAGCCAAAATAAATGTAATAATTAAAAATTATATATATTTTAATTAGTATAAATATTTAACATTTTAAAATTATAGTAAACAAATATATTAAAAAACCGAGGACAGTGAAGTCACAGTAGAATGGGGACGTGGCATAGTTGATATAAGTATAGATGATCTCTGCCAGCGATAAAAATCATATTCTAAAAATGGTTCGTTGCAAATCTGTAGATAGTGTTAGAAGGTAATATTTAATTATTCCAATAGCAACATGAACCTTTATTTTCTTATTTATGTCCTAACTACAAGTTTTATGATTTATAAGTGTAATACATGAATAAATATTTATTATGGTAATTAAATTCAGTATGAAATTGATTTAAAATAAATTAGTATTATAATTTTTACAGAGAAATTATAAGAAGTTGTTGTATACAGAGTGATTCTTTTAATATTAGTCACTCAATTATTCTTAAAATAATAATTATATTAAGAAAATTCTTTTTGGTAGTTTTTATTTTATATATTTCTTTATTTATTAATTATTAATTTTTTTAATTCATGTCTTACACCTTATGAAGCATGAATAAATTAAAAAATTAAATATATGAAACTAAAAAGTAGAAAAAAATGATTTTCTAAACATAATTATTATTTTAGAAGAAATCAAGTGGAAAGAGTGGCTATTAAAAGAATCATCCTATGTAATTACCTCAATTTGTCATAAGCCTTCAGTAGATAGTACATTTGTTTTTTTTTTTGAAAAGGGCTGCCACCTTCATTCTAATATACATATTAATTTTACATTAATATATGTATTACCTGAAAATTTTCAATAGCTCTACTTTTTATACATGTATGTATGTTGTTGTTTGTATGTTTTAAGTTTTGAACCCCTCTATATAAAATAAAATGGTCCAATTAAAAAAAAAAAGTATGTCAGCAAAAAAAATATGTATGAAGTATTTACAAAAAAAATTGTATTGATCCATTAATTTTTCAAAAAGTAATTTCAATTTAAAGTTGAACATTTTAACACAAAAATAGCATGATTTGTGACAAGCATTTGTACATAGAAAAAAGTTAAAAATAATCAAAAATTAAAACAATTACTTTTTTATTATAAATTTTGATTAGGTAATAATTTCTACAATAAATAATCATACAATTTTTTAATTTATCACATGTATACGAGTTTTTTAAAAATTATAATTAAAAAATTTTACAGCACAAAATTTTCTGTGCTAAATAATATGGTCATATATTTTGAATGAAATTTAGTCACTGATTCCAAAAGCGGCTTTAGAATTATCAGATTGATTTTAGTATTTATGATACTAACTAATTAGTGAAATTCAGGTAATTTGAAAAGCACATTAAAAAGAAAAAAATTAAATAGTTTATTAATTTGAATAAATAAGGCATTATTATTGTATTTCATTAATTATATATTCAGTTATTTAATCAAAACATTTTAGTAATAGTTCTTAACTCAAAGTGGAATACAATAAGTAATAAAATATAATTTGATTTAATTTTAAATAATTGATTTAATGATTTAATACAACAACAAACACACATAGTAATATTTATGATAAAACATTTTTTTGTTAATATCATTAAACTTAAGTAAAATTAACAGCAAAACAAATAAAATAATATATAAATATACAAAAAAAAAAAAACAAATGGAAAGAATCACAGTACATATAATAATGATACAACAAAATTAGATCTCAAGAATAAACAACATAATAATATAAAAAATTCATCATAAAAATAAAAAAATTGTTAATTTATCTTATTTCACTAGTATATTTGGGTATAAACTGATTTAAAATTATTAACAAAATTTAAAGTCTGCATGTTCCTTGAGGCACAAATGGTAACTTAATAATTATAGCATACAGGTAATGTAAGCATAAATTTTAAAGCTCTTAATGATTTATTTTGAGCCATTGTTGAGGCATTAAAATAAAGTTAGTGATAAGTTAACACCATGACATGGAATATTTATATATACCATGATGTTTTAAACATTTATCTCTAAATATGTGACTAGATAATATTTAATTAAATTTTTAATTAAATTAACATAAATTTATTTTAGACTCTTATGTCAACAAGAATGTTAAAACAAAAGTTAAAAAAAAATTCAAACTTAATAAAATGTTTTTTGTAATTTGTGCTTAGATTTCAAGCTTTTAATACAGTCTTCATATAATTTAAATAGTGATAAATATAACACTATTACTATAAAATCTAATAATTATTATATGATTTAAAAATATATATTATTCAAAAACCCAATCGCATGGAAGCTTAGGCATTTTTGAAGCAGGCCAAGGTAAGTAACCAGCCGTTTTAAATACATAATAATCATATGACACTTTACCAATTAATAACAATAAAGCAGAAATTTCTGCTGCAATAACATAATACATATAATCTGTCCAGTCAGTTTGAGTAACACACACTATTTCACAATCCAAATCCACTACCTATAAAATAAATAGGGAATGATAAAATATAACCTAATGAATAAATATTTGTAATAAAAGATAACACAAATAAATTCATAATTAAAAGTGTGTTTAAATAACCACATAAAAAAATGGTTTTTAAGCTATATAAAAATATACTTATTTAAAAAATAAAAATATGAAGTGTTTAAGTTTAAATACAAAAAAATATTTCTTAGTACTACAAAATCTAAATTCACAGAAAATAATTATAGAATAGTAAATTTATATATCTTTTATTGCAATGTAAACGTCAGTTATTACCTTTTTTCATTTTTTACTTTAATCACCTTTAAAAAATGTGCACTAGTCTATCAAAATATGTGGTAGACAAATATGTCATAAGAATATGAATAAAAATCCTTTGAAGTTAAGTAAAAGATTCTAAATTACCAAAGAACTATTTTTTCTTAATCATAAACAATATTAAAGTGTACTTTTTCCATAAATTTGAATTTGGACAACCCTAAAAATTATTGCTTCAGTATTAATTATCTAAAACAATTTTTTATGTTAACAAATTAACAGTAAAAATAACTTAATAAAAAATAAATAAAATAAAATAACTTCAGAAACCACTTGTATTTTTTGTTATATAATTACATTTTTTTTTAGTATTTTTTCAAAAATGTTCAGAATTTTTCAGTCTTTTTGATCATGTATAGAATTAAATACTTAAAAGAAAAAATAATTGGTTTGGGGCACTTGTTATTTTGAGGTATTATTTCATTAATATTCATAATAATGCTAGCATCCTTTTCACGGGATAGCCTCTCAGCCAACGGAGTATTCCGTCTTGGGAAGCATTGTTTCATTATTATGAATAAATTATCAGTTTTTTTTTGTTGGTTCTTTGTAACTTAGTGTTAATTTTTGTACTTCAGCATAATTTTAGTGCCACTTATATGTTGTTAAGCATTTATACACCTGACATGTAGTAATTATACAGTTACTTATTACAATACTATATATTTTTAATTATTTACTTCTCTAACAGTATATTAAATTCTTATTTTATATTAAATGATAAAATATGTCATTAAAACATACTAACTTTATAGCGTAAATTTTCACATTGAATTTCCCTGTAATCTGGAATATGTTTATGATTAGCTTCTAACCAAACCTGAAGAAAAATATATTTAATAAATTAAAATTACTTACAAGAACAACAACAAAAAATATATTTTGATAGTATTTCTCAAGGTATTTAATGAACATTTTTTTTTACATGAAAAATAATATTTATCAATATTTAAATTAAATATGAAAAGAAAAAATGTATTATACAATTAAATATTAATCTAATATAAAAAAAAATGTATAGTATCTAGAATACTTCTAGATTAATAACTTACTTTTAAATATTGAGCTGTACTACAATCACAATAAAGTTGATTACCACCCAAATTTACTAAATGACCTTCAAAACTTCTAGTAAATGAATTTTCTAGTATATACATTGGTATCTAGAATAGAAATTACTAAAATTTAAAGTATAATTGATAATTATAAATTCTATAAAAAGTATTAATGGCTTAGTAGCCAATGCTTTAAATGAAATAAAAATAAAATAAAGAATGATAAATTAATTGTTAGTATTAAATATTTAAAATTAATTTACTGATTTCAATTGATTTGATTTTAAACTTAATACAGCATAGTTATCCATGAATCGTGAGCCTTCCAATGCTAGAATTGATGACACTTTATTTTTGTCTGCATAGAAAAATCTTAAATCTTTATACGAATCAACCAGAACTAATGCATCAATATTAGTTATCTAAATTTATATATATAAAAAAAAATACTATTAAAAATAAATTAAATTTTAAAAAGAAAATTTGACTTTTTTCAGTAGTAAATTTCTTAGAGAATAATTTTTTAAACTAATGTGAAAAAATTTTTTTTGTTTAAAATTATTACAAACTACTGATAGTAATAAATAAAATGTATGAAAATCGCGAAAGAATTAAAGAAAAAAAAACTGCTTAAGAAAAGATAAATCAAAATATAAAACTTTAAGTTAATACATTTATTTTTACTCATGATGTAACACTTGAATTTAATTACACCTAATTTGTAACCCTAAACTACTTACTTCTTTTCTAATATGTAAAGCTCTTAGATGCACATAGATATCAATTTTTTTTTTTAATTAAATATATAAATTTAAATTATAAAAAAAAAAATACATACATTATTATTTGTTACGTTTAAAACCACAGTATTCTCTGGTAAATTGATTGGTAAATAAGAAAGTTTATTGTTGGAACAATCTACTTCCACAGTATTCAATACATTTTTATCTGATATCATTTCATAACCATGCCATTTACATTTACATCCACTGGGACATTGTGTATTTAACTACAACATGAATAAATTATAAATTTTTACTTATTATCATTGAATACTAAAGCTTACATACCTTGTCAATAATTTTTATTTGGTCAAATGCAAGTATTTCTGTAGAGTTAAACCAATTAAATGACAAAGTTGTATTACAAAAAGTATCGTTAGTATTTTTAAACAATAGCTGCTTATTTTGAGAACTTTTAACACTTCCCATTAGTTCAAGTAAGCTATCACATTGAGTGTTGTTATTATCTAAAAATTATTTTCAAAAAAATAAAATATTGATTTAGAAAAATTAATATTAGTTTCATAGAAAATTAAATTTTACATGATAGATCAATCCAAAATTTTGGCACTTCATTTTTTATGATTGGCAGTTTTGATATATTAGTATGTGAGAAGTCTAACATGGCCAAAGTTTTAAGGTTTTCTAACACTTGAAGTTCATTCAATGGCCACTCTGTACCAAAAGCATTGTTTGAGAAGTTAAGGCAAGTAATTTGATGGGTATGCTCCAGTCGACCAAATAATCGATTAACAGAACTACTTGTAATAGATAAAGATATTAAATGATTCAACTGATTGGAAAATTTACCAAAATCAAACCGATCAGCAGTCATATTATAAATATGTAGCGCTTTAATGGCTGGTAATTTAGTACCTACAATTTTATAAAATATTATATTTTCATAAAATTTATCAATTTAAAATATGTTACTTGTATTGTTACCAGAACACATAATATTTCTAAATAAATCATCATATGAACGAGTCCGACAGCAAAATATAGATGATTCATCTGTTAGTATACATTTACATTGATTATTCGGACATGATTCAGGCGGTTGATTATAACAAGAAGCTAACTCATCACACTGAATTATAGTAACATAAATATAGAAAATCCACAAGCATAAATATTTTCTTTCTTTATTCATATCTGTAAAAATTATTATTAATGTTAAAAAATAAATTATTCAAGAATAAAAGAACTCTCAATTGACCCTAAAAGAATATGCTAAAGTGTATTTCACATTAACCCCATTTGAATGTAAATTTATGAAACTATGTGTACCCTAATTATTTGTTTAGTGTATTGGTATAGCAATTGGACACTTATAAAACTTCCGTGTTTACTAATGATTCATAGTCATTAATTACACAACCCATTTTCAATAATAATTGTTATGTATTTCATATTATCAAGAGTTTTTTCAGTAAAACAAAAATTATAATTGAAACAATTTTACATAATTTTAATATTTAAGCACATGTATCAAGAATTTATTTTAAAACTATCAATATTAAAAGTCTTCTAGATTAACATTATTCTCTTTAAAGTAAACACAATAATAATAATAAGCCGTGTCATTTGAAAAAACTCATAAAATAATTCTTTAATTTTTGTAAAGCAAATTTTAGCTTACCTTTTTATTTTGTAATAAAACCAAACTATTACTTTGTGCAACTAAAAAATATTATGATTTAACATAAATAAAAATACTTTTTTAAAAATTTAATAACTTATACAAAAAAATGTAACAATAAATATTAATTTTAAATTTAAACTTAAACATTGTTATTAAGAATAACTGCGTTAGTATACTTACACTAACTATAAATTAATTAACAGTATTATTACAAGGCCAACTATATTAAGCATTTTGTTTTGTTTTGCTTTTTAATTAGTAATTATGTAAAAAATTATTTATCACAGTAGGCTTATCAATTTGAAACATTGATAATGATAATTTTTGGTTAGCAAGCAAATCATTATCAGTATGAATTATGAAATCAACAATTGTCATTAATGACTCCTTGCATTTTTATCAATATTGACAAAAACATACCTGTACGTTAGTCTCATTAATAAATAGTTCAATCATATTTTCGTATAATGATCTAATGGCGTAGGCTTCAAAGTGTATAATAATTCAATTAGTATAGACAATTACAAATTAACATTTTAAAGAAAAATTTAATTTCAAAATAAAGGAAAATGAAATAAAAAACTAACGAACACTACGCTCAGTTGAAATTGCCACCCGTAATACATATGAGCTTGTTGGTCGTGTTTCTGTTGGTATGACAGGCGCTATTATGTAGTCGGTTATGGCTCAACAATAGCGTATGACGTAAACGACACTGCTTGATACCAGGGGAACATGCACACAAACGTGATCTTTTTTTAACGATGTAAGTAGCAGAGAGATATTTATCTTATAGGGCCCTGTTACAGGCGACTATCAATTCCACCGTCGCCGGCAATCGCGCCGAACCGCTATGGTCAACCGCGGGACCATTCGTGGTCGTAGCGATTTAGCGCGTTTTCATTCCAACTTGTATATGATATACAATTTCCATAATACATCAATTTGACTAAAATTTTCTCAATAAATTCGGATACACAGTCTCTAGGAAATTACAATAGGATAAATCTTTTATTACGTATGTGTTCACGTGTTTACCTTGGTTACGGCTGTATAAAGATTCGAAAATACTAGGGGATTATGTGGGCAATATACAAAACTGAAAAAATGTATCAAGCGTTTTCTTAGGACACTAGACTTACACATGACTTACAAATAAATATCATTATTCTGTTATTAACGATTGGCGGTATTGCTCAGAAATGTTAATCACGGACAGATCGAAGGACCAGGGCTATAGCAAATAGTAGTTTTTTTTTCTATTTTCTATGTTGTCTATATGATTCTGTAACGTATGTAAGTTGTTTGTAACACGTTTCGTTGTGTTGCTGTTATACCTCCATAAAATCGAGGTCGGTACTGTAAATTAATATCGCAATAGAAACTTCGCCTGCAGCTACGAGTAGAAAAATGACTAAGTAAAAAAAATTAACTATTTGTAGTTATTACGCATCTTGTGAGTGTTCAGCATCATAAAGTTGTAATATTATTTGTGGTGTTAAGTTAAATTTTTGATTTACTAGGCAAGATCAAATAAAATTTGCTCAACAGTTGTTAAAACAGTATGTAATAAAATAGTATTTATGTACATTTTACTTATTCATTAATCATGAACCCCATACAACTTGTTAGTTAGTCCAAAAATAAAAATTATGTTGATATTTTTTTTATTTTTTTTTTTTTTATGTACAATTATTTCTTAAATTATCAATCGTGAAGTACTTTTTATTTTAATCTCTTACACAAGAGTGCCAACTTTATTTTTTCACATGGCAGCATGCAAAATTATCTAGTTTAATTAATAAGTAATAATTAAGAAAATGTTTTATTCCTTCTAAAAGCTAAGCCTTGTATAACCAACTGGATTGATATATATACTCGGGAAATGTTCAGTGCAGTGGTTTTCCCTTTGCCTTCTGCACTGGGAACGTGGTGTTTTTTCGCAACTGTAGAAGCGCACGCATGGTCACCCATCCGTTCACCTACGGCGGTAGGCGCGGCTTAACAATAGAGTTTTGTTAACAACTAGTAGTGTGACCACCGCGCCACACCACGCCCCAGTAATTTAAGAAAATTACTGGGGAAAAATAATTTTAGAATCAGTATTTCGGAGTTCATTGATATTTTTATACCTAAGCGAGAGGAAGAGTAATTAATAAAAACTGATAAATTACTAGTAATAAAAATAACAAAACCTGTGTCTCACCTCCAGTCTATATTTTTAATTGCAAATAACTTCCGAATTACTAGTGCAAAAGTTGTTATCGACCAATTATTTTCTTTAATTTAAAGAATTTAGAAAATAAAGAAAATTTAATTTTTTTCTAAATTATTTTCTCATCACTTATTAAATAAACTAGATTAAATTATCTATAAAAAGTATTAACATAAATAATTGCTAATTCAGCAATATAAGATATTAACTGTTATATATAGAACAAAATTAGCTCCTTTCTTGATCACTTAGTGCTTATTTAAGCTAGGCAAAATATGTGAAAATCCAAAAGTATATAATATCATTCAAAATGATTTTTATGTGGACAACCTTCTTGCAGGAGTAGAAAATGACAAAAAATGTTTCCTAATTTATCAGCAACTTATATGAGAATTAGTAAAAGTTCAAATGCCTTTAGGGAAATGGTATTATTTTTCTAATATTACAATTACCCACTGCAACTAATATTAATTATTCACTGTTTTTATCAGAAAAGGACACTGTTAGTACATTATTATTTATCTGCCGACTTGACAAAGGTGCATTTAGGTTCAAAACAAAACAATGGACACTATTGTCAGATATTCATAAGAAATATGACTCTCTAGGATTATTAACTCAACGAATTAATTTAAAGGAAAAATGTTTTTATAACATTTATGGACATTAAAATTATAATGGAATATAGCAGTCTTATCAGATATTCAAGTGTGATGGACCAAATTTTATAGTAGTTGAAAAATTGTCTATTTCAAGAAGAGCATTATGTAGCACCACTTGTGGCTATATTAGTTTATGCGGCAACATCTATTCCACGGTTAACAATGTTATACACTTCAAAGTCACGTGACTTATAACCATTTCTCGCTTTGAATTTTGTGCTGCTGTTCTGTTGATGGAACTATCATATGAAATGCTAGCTGAAATTTTAGATTGCTCCCTGTGAAACTAGTGATAATGGCTCAGTCCCAAGATCAATGGTTAAAAACATACTCAAGTAGACCACATAAGTTCGATTAACAGCTTGGTTACTCAGTTTTAAAAATAACTATGTTAGTAAATTACAAGTGAAGAAGTGTAATTTTACCATTAAGTAATCAACTCGGCGGTTATGATTAACAGAAGCTAAGTATTTTGCTAATGATTATTAGTGGTTGATTAAGGTACATGTCATCATAACATTCAAAAATACACTCTATTGTTTTATCAGCAAAGTATAGCGTAACTTTGCTCATTTTCAGTATGAACGAAACTTTTACAGATTAGTTCGCAAGGTTTACTTGCAAATATTTTACGCCCTGTAATGATCTCAATCTCGTCCGGTCTACAGTTTAATGAGTGAAAAATTCTTTTAACAATTTTTATGGTAAATTTTCATTGAATCTTTTTCTTCACCTTTCTTACTAAGTATTTTTTAGTAACTCTTGGGAATAGAACTAAAAAATTGATAAAATAATAATAAAACAATAAGGAAAATATATTACTTCCTAACAGATTTTAAACTTACACTTCTAACAAAGAATAAGAATTAAGTATGTTTGTAAAATCATAAATGATTTTACTATATCTTAGGAGTGTATCTAGAAATTTATCTTGATTGTTCTTAGTTTACGCGAGTATTTTCAAACCTCTAAATATAAGAGCACAATACCTAAAAAAAATCCGTAACTCATATTATAATATGATTTTTTTATGTAGATTAGTGATATCTTTCATTTTAGAATAAAACTATGAGATTAAACAATATTAGTAATAATCTAGCTGCAATAATAGAAATTCATTTAAATATTGAACTTTTGAACCCAGTAAGATCATACAATACTGCGAAACCCAGAATTCTTTCTCTAGTTTCATCCTTTTTACTAAAACTATGTGGTGCATAGTCACTTATTATATTTAAAATTTTTTCCTCGAAAATTAATATTATGATTATAATTCTGTCACTTTTCCTAGTTGCTTCTACTACTGTACTTTTTATTTCCTCATATATTATTTTCCATGCACCATTCTTGGTATTTGATTCACCTAATTATATTACTTTATAACCCTCACCTATTTTCCTTGCTCTCTCTCCATTCCACTTAGTTTCCCACACACAGCAAATGTTAACTTTTCTCCTTTTTAATACTTTTACTAATTCTCTACTTTTACCATTTAATGTTCCAACATTCCACGTACCTATTCTTACTTTGTATCTATCTTTCTCCCTTATACACATGTCCAGCCTAGAGTTGAGTGATGATGTCCCTACACCGTTGACACTACTAGCGTTGGTTAGACCTGTACACATGACTGGTGAAACAGCTACCACACAAGTTATCCGGCAGGTATCAAACACTTTATTCTTTAGGCCTTTTTCGTTTCTAACTACTTTATTTATTTTTACCTGTTGTCCCCGCGTACATCCGAGATGAGACCATTCGCCTAAGTTTTGTTCAGGGCCCCTCATATTTTTTTACAAAATTTTACGCCGGTTGTCGACCATGGGTCAGAAAATGTTGGCATAATTTTTTTTATTTTAATAAAAACATTAATGAATTTTTAACGCAAGTGATTGATTGGTGAATGGTTCAATAAAACGAGTTGACGTTTGAAATTTTCATCAGACCCGCCCAATGACATTCCTGAGATATGATAAAAAAATCAATTCAATCCGTTCATTTTTCACCGTTTTACGAGTTTTTTTTTTCATGCGCTCGAGACGCCAGGGCGCGCCGCCCGAAATTCTTGCGACACTTTACGACATGAAAACGATTTTTTTTACGATTCGCAATCATACCACGGCGTTCTGTACGTGCCAAGGAAGCGCCANAAGGCGTTCTGTACGTGCCGAGGAAGCGCCAAAAATCCGAGATCCTACCAAAAATCTGACCGCTACGAGCGTTTGAAATTCATCAAATTTAAAAAAAAAATAACGATTTTTCTGTATGCCAGTAACACATGTACGCGTCCTATTATATCTTATTATATAATAGAACAAGGAAAAAAACGCTTTCGTTTAACGCCATCGTTTTAATATGCGCAGTGATTCATTTCTGCTCATACGTTTATTATGAACCTTAATTATATGGTGTAATATGTATTATTATTAGGACACTATTTTGCATTTGCACTATATTTTATCAAGGAATATTATATGTTATATATAAATTTCAAGACGTTATAATTATATAAGTTTGTACTTTCATTATCAGAACAGTACATTATTAATAATCTTTTTTTTCTCATATATGATGTATGAGACTATGAGTTTATCGTTTGAATTGGGATTCATCTATGATAACTATGCTGTCCAACGTTAAATCGCAGTTACCAATATTTTTATCAAAATTAAATTTTTTACAATGTGCCACGTATAATATACGTATAATAACCTGCAGAATTTTTTTTTAATTATTCTATAATATAAATACAATTATTATAATTAGATTATTAATCATTTTTGTGTATAACGGGGGTGTATTTAAGAGAGATATGGGCCCCCCTTGAACCAGCGCTATCAATATTTTTTTAGGCAACTTCTAATAAATAAGGACCTAATGTCCTTTTTTTTCATCATTACTTTAATTTTTAGCAAAAAAATTTCTATAACATGTTTAACAAAGTAAATAATATTAAATACCCTCCTAAAATAATTTTTGAATAGGCCTAAAGGGAATACCTCATTAACAAACGTCAACCTTATATCCAATACATTTTACTATATTCTCTTTTTGAATTTTCCTGATTTTAATAATAACATTTTTATATATAGTTTTGTTACACTGATTCGGATGTAATATTTTTTCTGAAAAACACTTATCGTGCTCGGCGTATCCCTACCGAAATCAGTGGCCTACTTATGACAACGGCCCGAAGAGTCTTACGCGCCTTCGGCACGTAAGGCTCGAAGGGCTCCGGGTCTGGGGCGGAGCCCCAGCTAGGCGGAGCCTAGTATCTGTGATAAACAAAAATATACCACCATACCTTAACCTTATCTAACAATAAAGTAATAATTTTTCAATAACCGAAGTATATCTGTAAGTAGTAAGTCAGAAATGTTCAATTAGCTACCTTTATTTGTCTTCCTGCTTATTCTATACGTGCATGTAATCTCAAATAATCGAAAATTTAGAGTAATATAATAAATAAACGAATAAATTTAAATAAATAATTCAAGCGATATTAATAATAAAAAACAATTATAACTTATCAAATTAAAAATATATGATTCTATTTGAAGAAATAAAAAATTTAGTCTTATAAGGCATAAGAGATGGATTTAAAAATTACCCAATATTTAATTAAAGTAGAATTATATGCAACTAAAAAAAAAAATTTTAAATAATTATTATTTTGAGAAATATAGAATATTTATTAATAAAAGAATCACTCTGTATAATGGAAAATGATTAGATTTTAAAAAAATATGTCGAATAAAAGGGACTTGTATAAAGTACTTGTAAAAAATTTGATACCCCACCTAGTTGAAATGTATATACAAAAGATATAATTCTTTACATACATTATATACAATGTTTTATAGAATTTTACTTATATATTAGTTCCTTTAACACCACATACACCATAAAATACTGCAAATAATATAAAGAAATAATAAAGAACAATTACATTAATGTCTACTTTAATAATTTAATAAAAAAAAAAAAATTTAACCTAAAATATGCTGAATAATTCTTTGAGTTATTTATTAGATTTAATTAAATTTATTTATAGTAATTGAAATTTTATTCATATCATTTAAAAAACATTTATTTAAAATATTACTACTAATCATTAAAATACATACAAGTATTTCATATATATTTTATATTTTACACAAAGTAATAACTATTCACTATCAAGGGTAATTTATTTAAATACACATACAAACATATTTATAAATTTAATAAAAATTGTTTAAACCTATATATTTAATTTAAGTAAGTGTCATGAGCTCATAAATAATTTGCTGATAGTAACTGTCTAATTCAAAAAAAAATATTTATAAATATATATATTTGTTAAAACAAATAATAAAATAATTACTATATAAAATAAGCTATGATGCATTAAGTTTCATTTATTAAACGTTTGAAGAATAGGAACTTTTTTAAATACAGGTAAATTTTTCAAATATTTATATAATATAAAAACAATACAGAATTATTTTTAAAAATAGAAATATTATGCAACGACTACAAAATAAATAATTTATTCGAAAATTATTCCCTTTAGGTCAATTAATTATAAAAAAATGAATTTTATTGTTTTGATGGCTTTTCCTATATTTGTAAGTAAAATTTAAAAAACGTAATATAAAATAAAATAATGTAATTACTTTATTTTTATTTAAACTATGAAATCAAAGAAGCTTAGAAGATGGAATTTAATTTCAAAAAGTTTCTCATTATTATTGCTTTATTTTCGAAAAAAAAATTTTTAGCTTCAACTTTATATCATAATATGTTTTATTTCAATCTGTAATATAAAAAGTAATTTAGTTTTTATTTATTTATTAATGATTAAAATATTTTACTACTTTAAATATGTTTAACTTTTTATTTTCGAGAGAATAAAATTTAATTGATTACCAGTCTGATACAAAATATATAAATTTATTTAATTTGATTATATTGAGGGAGTTAGTTACTTAGTATGATATTGCTTTTGATATTTGTGAGTAGGTATTTAAAAGGCATACTTCTAAACTTTTACAAATGTGTATACACGTATTTATAATAAGTACTACTAGGGATATCCTTGCCCGAAGAAACTTAATAATAATATATTTTATATTTAGTTTTTAATTCCCATAGGTTTCCGTATTTGACGCATTAGCTTATAGTAATATTGAAACAATTATTAATGAATTAACTGAATTAAACCTTCATAAAGCAAAAGAAAATCTACATGAATGTTTTATTAAAAATAATATAAACGTACCAATAAAGGATGAGGGTAAATATTAAATATATTTTAAATTTATATTAAATTATTAAAAAAATAAAAATTATTAATATAATAAAAATAGTAAAACTGATCATTAAAATGACAGAGTAAGGTTGAATATTTGATGAAAGTAATCTGAAGGTAGATTAATCAATAAGTCATATATGAAATATAATACGCATATAACGTATTATTAATTTCATTTCATTTTTAACATTTTATCTATAAAATTATTAATCATGCTAGTAAGGGACGCAACATATACATAAAAAAATACAACCAAATGGAATACTAAGAAAAAAATAATAATTACCTGCATTTATTCAGGGCACTCTCTAAAAATTAAAATGTTTGTCAAAAAAAATATATACATAGTACATAAATAAAATTGGTGTTTGAGGACAATCAAAATATAATTTTAAATTATTGATAAATTACACGTATTGTATGTTTTGTACTTGGATTTTTAATTATTTCATTTATTTACAAATTTTAACTGTAACTGTTAACAGTTCATCATAAAACGTTCGTATTAGAATTTGATAGATTTTTAAATCAAATCAGAATAGATTTAGTCAAAAAAACAATTAATCCAGAGGATGTGCCTTCCAAAATGTTTGAAAAAGTTTATAAGACTTCTGATTATAATCAAGAAATGTATGTGTGCTCTGCTGTTTTCATAAGAAATTTATGTTTTGTAGATGATTTTGAGGTATATATAATAAGTGTATTATTAAAACATGTTAAATAATGTTATAGGAATATTGAACAATTTTTTTCGTTATGAAATATATTAGCTTAGACACAGAGATATTGACACTTTACAATATTAAAATGATGTTAACATGACACAGTTCATAAATATTATTTATTTGTAGCTATTCTATGAAAGTTAAGATTCTTTTTCAGAAATATGTATATTAAGCACAAACATAAAAGTCTTTAAAAACGGTTCAACTAAACGAAAAGCCCCAAATTTTGTATAACTCTTTCTACATTATTAAATTATTTTAGAAAAAGATTTTTTTTCAATTTTTTATAATGATTTAAACCTTTAATTATCCTTTAATTACTAATTAGTCATTATTTCAAAAACTAGATGTGATGAAAGAATCTAAAATTAGATTCGAAATCAACAGAAAATTGTATATTATTTGTTATTCTGTGTAATTATTTTCATTAATTTAAAAAAAAATTTATTTTTTTTAAGATGAGCTCAGAGGAGATGGAAAATCGATTTAAAAAACATATCTCTAAAGCAAAAACATTTTTGCATGATTGTTTTAACAATTATGATGTATGTCAAACAGTTATTGACAAAGGTAAGTTACAAATAACAAAGTAAGAAAGGTACAGATTTATTGTAAAAGATTAAATAAACAAAATATATAATAACTACACAAATGGTCATAGTAGTATAATAAAACCCAAAAAGTTCATAAAAAAACCGCCTTTTAGAAAGTTAATTAAATGTTTATCATATATATTTAGTTAATCATACTTTAAACTGAACACGTAAATTAAAATTTAATATAAACAAACGTTAAATATTTAATATACTCATAGAACTTTTAGTTCAATATTATAAGAAAATAATTTAGGTAAACTCGAATAAAAAAACTCATTTTTTCAGATGCCTGAAAAATAGTAGTCGTTAAGTATTAACTTAACATCAAAAGTTAAGCTTTTAACATAAATATATTTAGAACCTTATTAGTAGAACTTAAACTTTTAGATCATTTTTTAACTTTTAATCTAGTTAAAAATGTATGGTTTCATTTAAAATCAAAAGTATGATATCCTTTTAAGGTGCGATTATTTATAAGTGTTAAACCTAAAAAGTTAATAAATTAAGAAATATTTATAACTAAAAATCCCCAAAAATATTCCCAACCATATATTTATATTTTGGCTAATTATTGTGGTTTAAAGTTTGTATTCACATAGTAAATTATTTTGATTTATTACTTCAATTTAGTTCCTATGGAAATTAATGAAGAGTATTTTATCATTGATTATAAGCAGGTTTCATTTGTATAGATCATGTACAGTTAACAGTATATTATTTTAATGGTTTACAGAAAACTTGTTTAAAAATGGATTTTGGACCGTTATACAAAATTCACTACCATCTTTAATCTACAAAACAAAATATCCTATGTTAATGACTGAAGATATTTTGAACTATTTTGATATAAAATCAGATCAGAATAGACGATTTCCTAAAGGCACAGACTATATAAGATTTTGTTCAGCAGCTTTTTATGTGAGCTTGTTTGGTGACGATTTACAGACTGTACGTATACTTGCAATTAGTTATATAACATAAGTAAATATTTTCAATCTAATTTTTTTTATCAAACATTTTGAGTATATACAAGATTTCTGTTTATACTAAATTTAATATCTATCAAAATCTACAATTAAAAAAATGTTTCAAATTATTTGATATTTTCAAATAATTATATTAAATCAACTTAAAAAAAAATAACAATACAAAGTAAAAAAAACCCAGCACAGGGGGGTCGCGGCACAGTGGTGACGTGGCATAGATGGATCAAGTATAATGATATCTGACAGTGATTAAAATCACTATCAAAAAAAACGCTTCGATGCAAATCTTTAGATAGTGTTTAATTTTAAAAAATTGGTGGATTATTCCAAAAGCTACATGATCTGCTAGTTCATTATTAATATCCTAATTAAGATAAAGTATGTCGAATGAAAAAGGGATTATTAAAAAATATTATTTCTTATAAAAAAATTGTGTTGATCCATACACTTTTAAATATGTCATAGCATTATAAAGTTAAAAATAAAAAAATAAAATCGAGAATTTTCACATAATAATAGCATTTGGTAGCCATTTTCACCGTGAAGATAAAATAAAGTCCGAAATTTTTTTTTCGCATAATAAAGTAGATTACATTAACTTTAATTTAAGATATAAATAAAAGTGTCAGACTTTCCGGAACAGTTTCAAAATTTAAGTTGAAAAAGTAAATTTTTTGTGAAAAAGTTGTCATTTTAAATCCCCCCTTGTGGGCAGGTTAAGGGTTAAATTTATGAAAAAAATATACCAAATGAAAGGTAATGATATTATGCATCTATATGTATATAAAAAAGAATTATATGTTTATTTTTGAAAAAGTTATGGCACTTTTAAGTAAAAAAAATTGAAAAAATTTCGAAAATTAGCGATTTTTAAATTCGTAATTTTTTTGGAGGTTTCCCCCATTTACGGGGAACGAGGGAATTTTTTTCAATTTTTGAGGGTAATGTCTTCGACTAGATACGATTTGTGATCTTTTGACGTATNGAGGGAATTTTTTTCAATTTTTGAGGGTAATGTCTTCGACTAGATACAATTTGTGATCTTTTGACGTATCATTGAAAGAAATCGGTTCGGTGAGAGCTGAGAAAAAGTGGTAACAGACAAAAAAAAAAAAAAAAAAAACGCATCTTAGTAAAACCAATACCTTCTCAGCTTCGCATCGAAGCTAAAATACAATAACTTCGTAGTAATCCAATTTTTATCAAATTTAATACTTATAAAAATTTTTTAAAAAATGTTTAATTGGAATGAAGACTCCTTACTTCACTTTAATATTAATAATAAGTAATTTTTTAAATAGTTTGAAATATTTTTACAAATTAAATTTTACTGGAGAAGCAAAATATTATGAAATTATTGTCCTAATAATAAATAAATGGGTTTAACTATTGCTTTTATAGTAATTTATTTATATTTTGCAGATATCTCGCAATGGTTCAATACTTAACGAGAAAATGCTTAATTGTTGCACTATTTCCTAAACTTTCAAACTAAGTTCCGACATAATATATAAAAATAAAAAGAAACTTTAATTTAATTGCTTATACATTTTATTTTGTTACAAAATAATTGATTATGAATCAATAGTTGGTTCATAATAAAAAAATAGTTAAATAATTTATTACATTACTAAGTATTTTTTTTTGTTTATTTTTAAAAATTGAATAATATTGCATGTTATGTCCGGAATAACATATCGTTCGTATGATTGAAAGTTATCTTCATAGTACTTTTCTTGTGTGTTTTACCAGTCAATATGTAACGCAATGATATCACAATTTTTAAAATATAATAAACTTTCATCATTTGTTTTTGACATTGATTATTGTTATAAAATTAGATATTATAATTAAAAAAATAATAACATCATTTGTTTGAGATTTTTATCATATATAATATATACTTACAAGAATAGTATAATAAATACAATTAAAATAATTATAAAAATATTACAAATTAAATATACAAATTAAACTAGTTATCCTTAACTGTCATAAACAATATAATACGTTAAGCTAAAACGTATATAAAACAAATCGAATGAAACTACAAATTATTATTTTGACATTGGAGACAAATGATATTGTAATTTCATCCAAGTTGAGTGTTTTCTATATCCGTTATTGGCTTAAGAATTAACCAAGAAAAGCACTAACACATTGGCCTCAGTTAAGTGTACGAAAATTATAACTCATTACGTCATTTGAGAAAGACTAGGAATTGTTTTATTTATTGAATATAAATTAAGTTCTTTTAGGTTTCCTCTGTTAATTAGATCATTAATTATTGCATCCATTTGACCAATTACAAATACCACCGACTGGATCAAATGATAGTCCTTTAGGACATGTATACTCCCAACCGATCAAAGAACCATATTCGGTCTTGGAGCAAGAAATGAATTTTTGACACGAAAACGGATGAGGAAAACTACCCATGTCCAGGCATTCGATATATCCATCCGCATGTATTCGAACTTTGCCTTTGAGTGCTACTTGTTCACCAGAATTAGACTGTTCTGAGTAGTCGGCAAACTGCTCTTGGTTAGGTCCATCATTTAGAAACTGTATGGGTTGAACTGGTACTAATGAACGGGCTGTAGTTGGTGTGAATTTAATCAATGGTGTAGTTCTTGATGGACCACGTCTTAGTAAAAACGTTTGTCGGGAAGTAGCTGGTAGAGGAGTTGTTGGTTGTTGAGGGGCAAATACAGGTGGTGGTGAAAATGACACATCAGAGGAAAATGGAATTGGTTGAAATGGTCCTGATTGGAATGGAGATGGATGAAACTGGCCCGAAGCAACTGGCTGAAATGATTTAGGAGGTTGTTGTTGTAATGATTCTGATAGCTTAATAGAAGGAGATAGCTGTTGGAGTGTTTGTTGCTGTGGCTGTTGTTGTAGTGATTTTGTAAATTCATTTTGTAAATTGAATACATTATCCTTAGAATGAGGAAGACGAGGCACAATTAGCTCTTGGTGCTGAGGTTCTTGGAAGAAAGTTTTTTCTGGAACACTGGTAGATGATCCTAAAAAATTACATTTATGTTAATAAATAATTGCGTAAATGAATGACTGAATAGATAAAGGAAATAATCAACTATTAAACCAGTTTTAATTAATTGTTAATTTTTTACATTCAGCTATTCAATTAAGATGGACACGGCTACCCGTGTGACATCCCGCGGTCGTGCCAGATCCTTCTCAGCCACCGCTCCACTGTAAACCGGACCGTTACACACAAGCGTCGTGGTGTAAGGTCCAACAAATGCCTAGCGTCAAATACCCGTCGCAATAATACTATGCCTAGTCATCTCCGTGACACCACCACATATATATCTGTCGTAAATCTACACTACAACCAGTTTTATCATCATCAGTTATGTGCGGTAATTCAACACGCCTGTAAAACCATTCGCTATTTCTTTCAGTATATTATTAATTGTCGTTTATTCGTCTTTATTTGAAAAAACCTAGTAATAAATGGCTCAACGTCAACTACAACTTGGAAAACATTGTGTTGTGTACTTTTTTTGTTCGCCCACACGCGTGTGCCATCTTATCGCGACAAGATTAATTATAAATTTAATATACACTGTGATTTATTAAGAAAACAATTTCTATTTTTTCATTGGAAAATGATTTTTTTCCTAAAAATGAACATATTCAAAATAGATTTATTACGTCTTCAATTTAGAATACTTTATTGTGTTAAAGCTCATATTTCTAGGGAACATATAAATTTGCATAGTTACCAATAAAATTATGATTTTTGTCTTACCTTGCTTGTTTATTTAAAATTATTTGTCAAAACTTCTGTGATGATTTGAATAAGGGATTTTTTCCTTTAAAAAATTTTTTTTATCTTTTCTCTTTCACTTAGGGTGTAAAATAAGAACATATAGAATTTATTTTTATATAACTTATAATAAACACAGTAGACAAAAAAAAATTTAATTCTCATAACTGAATGGAAATATGCGTCAACCAATAGAAGTGTTTTAAATTTTCGCGGATGTTCAGATGGGCGTTTCGAATTGTGGTAATTTGTTATTTTTATAGTTTCTGTAACTCCTTTTTTTGTTTTAACTTTTAGTTCTCTACATTTTATTAATTTCTTTATTTTCATAACTACGTTAATGCAGTTTTTGAATAATTTATCTAATAACATTATTTGTAATATACATTAATTATTAAACTGATTACCAGTATATTTTGGAGTACGTTTATAGTTAAATTATTTATATAAGCTAACTGATTACAATGAAAGTAATGCTCACAATAATTTATATAATCCACCCAAAATATTACATGCATTATTATTATCTTATTCTACTATTTTTTATATCCTAAATATTACCAAACATCAATTTACAATTTCTAATGTATACACTTCATAACAAAATTATTATTTATGTTTTTATGAAAAACTCATTATTTGCCAAAAAAATTAAGGGATTAATATTCTTAATAAATCACACTATATGTTTTTATTAATTAATAAATATTAAACTACGAGATATAATATGTATTTCAATATTAATACATTAATTTGTAACTACGTACTATATATAGTAGTAGATGGAGGAGCTGTAGCTAATGTATGTATTGCAGCTACAGCAGTGTTTGCAAGGTCTTCAACTGGTCCACCTATTTTTCGATCGTCTCTATTCTTGCTGAAAAAACTACTTTCGTCATAAAATGGCTGAGAAGATGAGTCCAAAAAATCATTTATTTGTTTGCTGTCTTCTGCTACAGTTTCAGGAGTTACTATAGTTGTTGGAATATTTTTAAGTGTTGTAGTCCTATTTTTAATTCTTCGTTGTTCAGGTCTTCTGCTTCGTATTGTTGTGGGCTCTGAACATAGTAAGTAAACTTAATATTTTATGTTTATACCCCCAACTATTCTAGTATTATTTACTAAAGAAATAACTTTAAAATGGCAGAAAAATATTGTGATAATTATTTTTTTCATGTTAATATTACTTCTTTAGAGATATGCGTTTACATAAATTCATAATTTGAAAGTCAATACCTATGTAAAATATTTATATTTATACATATTTTTTTTTAATAAATTACCTTCTTGGCTGTATTTAGTTGTAGCCACAACAGTTGTATATTCTGGTCTAAATTTTCTTCTTCGATTAACTTTTGCTACGTATGATTCTGTAGATGATTGAGGTTCTTCAACAGCAGTTGTTGTTCTTATAGGAGGTCTTGTGCCTCTAAAACGGTTTCTATCCCTTCGAATCTTAAAAACAAAATAAACAATTACAAACACACATTAATAATAAAATAAAATATTGAATTTAATAGTATTAATATGTTAGTGTATCTAGTTATTAGTGGATGGGAAGCTTGGGATGCAATGCGGATACGTAGCACGGAAATCATTCATGTCAAACTTTTTATGTAAAACAACTGAATAATCATGCAATAAATTTCCACTGACATATTTTATTTATTTTGGATTCATATCCAACTATAGTGTCTCTGACACACTTATAATTATCATGCAGTACTTTTAAATGGCCTGCTTTGACAACATATACTGTTAATGAAGTAGGTAATATATTTATTAGTAGCAGTTCATGCGCCCGACGATATCATTTTTAGTCGTTTAAACTGGTTATGGTTAATTCATTCATACCTCTTCTGTTGAGTTGTTTGTGACTGACAATTGGCGAGCAGTGAACTTTGTTTCACTTCCTTTAAATAATTCTTGTTGTCGATTTTTATTTGTTAGTCCATCTGATAGGGTATAAAGTTCCAACGAATCAAATGCTCTAACTCGCCCTCGATTTCTAGTTACATTTTTCGTAGCTTCTGATATAAATTCATTTTGAGACCTACCATCTACAGTTGGTTTGATTTTGATGAAAAATACTTTTTGTTCGTCTTTTAAAAATCTAGAGTTCTGCCGTCCTGATGACGTGCGTCGAGGTTTTTCTTCTATATCATATTTAACTGTATCATCAGCTTTTACAGAACCTCTAGAAACAATTTTGTACATTTTATTGGTGGTGCTTGGCAATAAGGTAGTTATGTCGTCTGGATTTGTTTTATAAGATTCATAATCATTTATTGTAGTCTCTCTAAATTCATTCTTTTCTGAAGAAAAATGTTCAAAATTTTTCTCTGTTCTCGATGTAAATCTATATGTTGTTTGATCGTAAGTAGACGAGTCATATCGTACTCTGTCAACGTTCTCTCCCGTATTTAATAGTTCTCCGTCATTTATTATTTTAGATTCTGTAGTATATGTAGTAGTAGAACCTTCAGTAGTTGGCTTACGTGATCTAAAAAATCTTGATTTTTTTACTTCAACAGTATTCGATGAAGTCGGTGCTTCAGTTGTACTGGATCTAAATCTGGAACCTCCTCTTCTTATTGATGGAGTACTTGTACTTAAATTATTAACAGTATTAGACCTGAATCTACCATACTGTTTTGTAATATTGCTTGAATATGTTTCAGTAGTGGGTCGAATAAATCGTTTTGGAGTAGTAGTTGATTCTTCGGTATTATTTTGACTAGGTCTAAAGAATCTATTAGTGTACTTATTTAAACGACTTTTTTTTTCAGTAACTGTATCTATAACTTTTTCCGTTGTTGTAATTTTAATTGTGGGCTCTGTAGGTTTTCTTAATGTAGGTCGAGGATGTGTCTGACTTCTAAATCGACCCTTAAGAATTGATTTTTGTGTAGATTCCTCCATCATTAGGTTATTTTCTATTACTTTAGGCGTAGTTGTTGAGATTTTATTCATCTCTATAGTAAACTTATCCAATTCAGATTTTTTATGTTCGGATAAAAAGTTAGGAATATTTTTAATACGAACACGCTGTCTCTCAGTTGCAGCTTCGTAAATAGATGTTATTACATTAGTTATTGTAGATGTTGACGTTGTTGAAGCTATGGTAGTCTCAAGGGAAATTGGTTCCATAGTAGTTGGAATAGGAGCTTGAGTAGTAAAAATAGTTTCAGATATATTTGATATTGTTGTGGAATAATTTACTGTCGAAATATCAATTTCGGCATCCAGTGTTGTAATAGGCAATTTTGTGCTAGTTAAAATAGGTTCATTTGTAATAGTTTCTTCACTCACCTTAGGGGTTGTAATAATGTCTCGGATTTCATCGTCCTCTTCTTTTATCGTTGTTACCTCAATTACTCTTTCTTCGTGTTTGGATGGTGTTGTAGTACTTCTTTGTCTCAATAATGAAACATATCTACAAAAAATTTATCAATAATTTTTACTTAATCTATTATGTCGGCGTAAATATAATCAAAAAAGTTTGAATTTTTTTGGTAAACATACTTAGGAGATGAAGTGGATGGTAAAGTAGTGAGGGAAGTTTCTTCATCAATGCTTTCTTCTGCCTGAGTTGTTGGTCTTGATCTGCGTAATGTTACGTATTTTGGACTAGTTGTATCTTGAGAATCACTTTCAGTAGATCTCGATTGATTTATAGAAATGTATTTTGGTATGGAATCATTTTCTTCGTTTTTATTTGAAGATTCCTCTAAATCACGATATCTATTTCTGTCTACGGACTTATATGTTAGTTTTGTTTGTTCTGTGGTTACATCATGTTCAGAATTAGCGTCCTCAACATTTAAGTTTTCTTCTTCAACATCTTTTGATGGCCTAAATTTTCCAATTAAAATTTTTCAGCATGTTTTTTAACATAAAAACAATTTTCTTAATTTTTTTTACCTTTGTCGTCTGATAGTCACATACTGTGGCTTATCCTTTTTGTAGTCAGGCGTATCATCTTTAACTTCTAAACCATTACTTTGGGGACCAGGACCATTAACATAACGAGACTGAAATCTATTAAAATATAAAAATTATTATTAATGCTATAATTTTAACATCATGATATCTTCTTTGGCTATATAAAATCACCTGTTAGCTGGATTCTTTAAAACCTTATTATATAAAGTTTTACTTATTGTGGGTGTTGTAACTTCTGTATCGCCATCTTTAAGGTTTAACTGCTTTTCTAACTCAGCTACACCGCCTAACAAATAAAAATATTATTTTTATTAGTTATGTAATAACTAATGTTAATTCGTTTTGTTTTCTATAAATTAATTAGTAATAAAATAATTTTCTTATCATAAGTGAATTTTTTTTTCGAGTATAAATATTTTATTTTTGAATTGCTATTGAAAAATAGTTTTGATACCTATACTTATAAAAACTTAAGTATTGTATTGTTAAAAAAATATTACGTTTAAATAGAGTAACTCAATAATTAGACATCTTTACTTTATGCCACTAATAAATTAAAACATAAACGAATGGATGGATGATTAAACATTTTGTATATTTAAGGTTTATAACAAAGGTATTTTTCTCGTTTAGTCTCATAATCAGAAAACATTTATAAAATTATAGCTTAACTTAAGTCATGCAAAAAATACTATTATTTTTTTATTTTATCAGCAATAAAAATGCGACATTTTTATATCAAAGATAAAAATATTTAGTAAATATTTTTTTGTACAGATTTTATGTATTTTTTTTTACATAATTATGGCAAATTAACAATAACGTAATACTATAAAATGGTATAATTTATATTAAAAATGAGTTAAAAGATTTTTTTAAGTTTTTTGGAAGTAAGTTTCATTATAAACAAATTTTTTTATATTCATATTATTCTTAGCGATGATTAAAAAAAACTAAACGTGTATGATATGATTTTATTGTGGGAATTATGGTTATTGATCCTACTGTTATAAAAATAAATACATTTTTATGCAATTAGTTTAATAAAAATTAATGTGAATTACTGTTATTACTTATAAAAATTAAAATTATATTAAACTATAAATGATAGAAACGGTATTGGTATTTTACCTAATTTTTTAATAAGAGTAATTAATTGTTTAATTTCTTTGGGATCTTCTTCTTCAAATTCACTGTCAACTTCTTCTTCAATTTCAGGAGCTTGAGTACTTGTAGTTGTAGTTGTTGTGGTAATTTTTAATCCAGACTTAATTGGTTTTGAGGTAGAAGTAGTTGTAGTAATAGTGGTAACATCGGACGTGGTTATTTTATCTTTACAAATTACATTTCGGCTATAGTCACATGAGTCTGAAAGTTTATTAAATACTAATCCTGAAGGACAAGTAAATTGATGAGCTACGATTCCTAAATTTGATGGACCACTGTCTAAACACCAAAAATATTTTTTACATTCACGTGGATGAGGGAAGAACCCTTCCTCTTTACATGTGAAATCTAAAAAATAGAATATACTGTTTAACTTTACGTAAGTGAAAAGTTATAAAAAAATAACTAAAGTAATATTAAATACATTTTATTTATTAAGATAAATTATTACTTCTAGAAATCTGGAATGATCCTTAGAAGTCTTGATCTTTAGTTAATCAACTTTATTTTTTATTTATATTATAAGTTTAATTTTAAATGAACATGATTTAAATTTTAATTTAAAAAAATTAAACAATATAATGTGATTAACATTAAATATATTTATTTAAAACTAAAAATATTAAAAATATAACTAAAACTATAACTTAAACGCCACCAAAAATACTAAAAATTCGCCTATACGCTCTTCGGGAAAAATGTTACCGTACATTATTCACTACATTACTAAACACATATTGACACCCCGACTAAAAAATACTTATTTATACAACCTTAGTGACATTATCACTATGTTATTATGTAATGGTATTATCTATTCGATTGGAACATTTTATTAGTTTACGCATGTTTAAAAATGTATTTTTCAGTGGACTTATCCTAATTATATAATACAGTAAAATGTGTACAGAGTAATTCATTCATCATGAACAACTTAATTACTAAAAAAATAATAATGATATTGAAATTTTTTTTTACTTATTTATTTTAGGTACATTCTGTTTGCAATTTATCAATCATGAAGTATTTTTTATATTCATCCCTTATACCTTATAAGGATGTTAGCTAAATTTTTTTAAATGACAACATAAATAATTATTTAATTTGTTTAAAACGTAATGATCTAATTAAGAAAATAATGATTTGATAACAACTTTTTGATCAGTATTTCGTAAGTTATTAACATTTTAGTTAGAAGTTAGACTTTAGTGTTGTTATTTTATTCTTTATTGCACTTAAGTATAAAAATATCATTTTTATAAAAAACACTGATTCAAAAGTTGTTATCGACCAGTCATTTTCTTTATTAAATCATTATATATTACATAAACTCATTAATTATGTATGTTGATATTTAAAAAAAAAGTTACATTTACACCCTAATATGATACAATAGAATAACATAAAAATTATTTATGATTAATAAATTAAAAAAGCATGTACCTAAAAATATTTTTTAAAAATCATGAATACACCGAAAAAATACGGTTAGAATAACAAATATTAAATGTTCAATATAATAATAACTATTATTAAGACAGTTACAATAACTGAACACTCAGTTAACCTAATATTAAATTTAGCTATTTCCATCTTTTTATTAGGGTTATCACTTTATCAACTATTTATTTTTCTATTAATTAAGTAGTTCATGATAAATTAATCAACCTGTATATAAATTTTACCGGTTCCAGAATCAGGCGTTGTTGGTGGTTCAGGAGTTGTTGATACAGAAGAAATTTCTTCACTTTCAGTAGTCGTTGATCTAGATATTGGTCTTTGTTTAGGTCTTTGCTTAAGAGGAGTTTTTGTTTCTTTGGTTAACGTTGAATCGACTTTCAAATTTCTAAAAACATTATATATTTTATAAAAATAAATAAATACATTTTTTAAAGTAATAATAACAAACCCTAATAACGCTGATTTTCCTGCTTCAATTAAAGGATATGGACGCTTGTGACAACTTCCTCTAAAATCATCATTGTCAATAGACCAAAACATAATTCCTCCTAATTCATGTTCGTTTACATATTTAGCCTGAAATTTATATAACATATATAATAATAGATATATAATTAAATTCTTAAAAATTATTGTTTAGAAGCATGGTGTATTATGTTGATTTGATGTACATTAATATTATTCATAAGTTATAATCTAAAGTTTCTTTTCTTACTTTAAGTTTTACGAATTCTTCGTCATCATAACCAACCCATTGGTTATCTTTATAAGCATATGGTCCCATTGCTCTAGGTTTAGGTTGCTCAACTGTCCACTTGTCATCTTTTTTTAAACTTCCACATATCTATAACAATAATTTTCGTTATTCTTGATCATTTTTAAATTTTCATTTCTTACTTCATAATAGGATAAATATCCTTTTTCTCTAGTAGCTTCTCCTTTTTCTCCGGGTCCGTCAGATGGAGCTCCTATTCCCGTACTCTCTTTATTGAATAAAGTGTATGATCTTCCATAAGTAGGAATACCTAACACTAGTTTATCTTTATCTGCACCAGAGTCTAAATAATGTTTGATTGTATGATCCTATATTTTTTTAATAAATATTAGTATAACTCATTAATTATAAATGTATTTCCTAATTTAATGAATTAAAAATTACAATATTAAGTTTAGCATCAAAATTATATTCAGAATCTTCCTCTAGTGGATAAAGTGGAGAATGATGATTTACAGCTGGTTCATACGCTGAATGGTAGTCGTATGTTAATAAATTCATGAAATCTAAATATCTAAACATATACGTATAAAAATAAAATAAAAAAATTTGTATCACATGTGATGATTAAAATTTAATTACTTGTTTAATTCTGGAATGTCATATCCCTTGTCAATATACTCTATGCCAGCTGGAACAGCCATAGTAAGGAGAAGTCTAGAACGGCCAGTTTTTGAAGATTCTTTATTAAATTCTTCACGCAATTCCTTATAAAAAGATTATAGTAACAAATAATGATAATATTAGTAAAAATAATATATTTTTTAATAATTAAGTGAATGTCATACCTTGACCAATAATGCATAATTTTCTTTGTCACTAGGATTACTTCCATCTCTGAATGATGGATATTCCCAATCAAGGTCTAATCCATCAAAGTTATTTTGTCTTAAAAACTTAACTACATTTTTTACAAACTCTTTGCGTCTGTCTTCGTCTGCTACGAGTTTTGAAAATCTAGTAGATCCTTCATTCCATCCTCCAATAGCAAGCAAAGTTTTAAGGTTCTTGTTATACGTTTTTAATCCATTGAACTTCGCATAACCACCTAAAAAAATTAAATAAAAAAATGTAAACAATAACTAGAAATATAATTGAATTCTACCTTGTTCTATATCTTGATACTTGTCATACGGCTTGAGACCATTTTCTTTGTCTAACCCACCAAATGCGTATATCAAATGAGTACATAAATATGGATTGATATTTTGCGGAGAAAATTTAGCAGTTCCCGGTCTATACACACTCCAATTAGTATAATAACAAACTATTTTTTTTTTATTTGATGAGTCTCGTTTTTGGATATTATCTGTAAAAATATAGAATTTATTATTTTAACCAAATCTATAAACTATAGTCAGTAAATATATCTGCTAGTTGACATTTAAAGCGAAGTGTACGTTGTTAATATGACTCAAGTTGTATTTTGTAACAAACATCAATAGTTATTAAACTTAACACAATCATGAACAACCGACAAAAAATTTATATGTAAATTGTTAAATAGTTGACAAAATATTTCCACATTTTTTCATGGATCATTTTTACTAGTTAATTTATAAATTTTACCAGGTGAGTAACCAAGTAGCATACTGTTGTATTAATCAAATATGAACGTGATTAAAGTCGACTTAGTGTCTATTGACGTAAACTCCAATGAAATTTAAATTTATTGCAGTCAAATAATTAATAAACGTATAATAATAGTTTCATTTAAATTAAAAAATTAAGCCTTAAAGACCTAATAGAATAGTAATATCTACACAAAAGAAAAATTTAAGCATAAAAAACCTATGGTTGTAATGTTTATTCTTTATAATAACCTATAATATTGTTTTATTTTATTTTATGTAATTTAATTATAAAATAAAAATATTGTAACAATTAGAATATAAAATAACTTTTTTATATCAATATTATATGTGTTATACTAGAACTTGATATTTAAAGAAGATATTTTTTTTACTTTAACACACAAAATAGTCCTGAATATATTACTTACGTTCAGCATCTGTTATAATGATTAATACGAATATCAACAGCCATTGCGAGATTTGCATCTGAAATACAAAAATTATAGTCGATTTAGTTTTAATATATTATTTATTATAAATTATAAAGTGCCGAAAAATATATTTTTTACAAATTGTATAAGTTTCTTTGCAAAGTTGAAAAAAATGCATATTTATATTTGATAAATCTTACACGTTAAAAAATAAATTTTATTATATCTTATTAATCTCACTCAGTGATGTACTCAAGATTTTTCAATAATTTATCTTATATTAAAAAAAAATTTTTTGCAGCTTTTTTTAGGAGATTTTTTAAACTAAAATGCTGGTAATCACAGCCGATGGAGGTCTCATTGGATACGCCACTGAATAATATACTGAATAAACACTCAATAATGCATAATAAGAACCGATGTTATATACAGACACATGAAAAATTGTTTAATTAATTTATAACAATTATATTTGTCGTTATAAATAAGAATAATATTTCTCCGCTAGTTAGACCCCTAAAAAATTTTTTCCAAATTTTAAGAGTTAATTAGAACTAAATTTAAATACAAAATAACCACATTAACATTCAATATAAAAATTAAACAAATAAAAAAAGAGTAAAGAACTTCTTTTGCCTAGAATACATTCGTAATCAAGGTATATTTACTTAATGTTGAAATAATTATTTAAAGCCATTTTTGGTGTATAACTGATTAAGATATAAATCGTTAAAAAATTAACTTATAAATGATATCATTGTCTAAAAGTAAACATTGAAACCTTTTTTTAATAGTCATTAAAACACTATTAAATTTTCTTCAACAATGATTTTGACTATACCAAATCGCGATTCCACTAGTTGATTTCGTTTATTTTTTTGTATTTCTTTGATCATTGTTTAAATTCAAAACAAACTACGAGTTGCATAAAAGTTGTACATAGTTCACCTATCTTAATAATCACATATTATCACGGAAAACCAAAACGAAACCGTAACAGATCCATTTAATTTTAAATTATGAAATTATAGTTTTCAAGAGCGTGTAAACTAAATTCCCATTGTGCAGTATTTAATTTAGTATAATTATATTTTTTTTAATCGTTCAAAATCAGTGGTCAAATATGCTGAATAATCCTAATAGTATTACACAATAATTACGACATAGACATAGTATACAATTTTTATATAGATCAACACACTACGGGTAATTTTTTTGTTATTGTGTGGGCGATAAAAATATAATAAATATCACTTGGTAAAAATAAAGCAACAAAAAATAACTTTAAAGAAAGATCACACAATTCAATTGTGAATTCAAACTTAAATTTTAATGATTATCTTTTACTAAATTGCTACAAAATAACACAGTGGAAAAATAAACTTAAAAACCTAAGATTAAAACTCAATTAAATTAAGATGTTCGCTGTTACTAAGGTCGTGATAGTGAATAAGCCATTACTTGGCATCTGTACGACGCTTTTAATATTTTTTTAGTGTTAAAGAATTGGTATATTATCTAAGAATAGTAACAACATGTAAACGTCAAAATAATAATGGTTATTATTTTTTTGCATTGTATTAATTTAATCCACAGCCGCCGGATGTTACAATATTTTAATTGTCAGCAATGCGTTAGAATTTAAATGAAGCAAAAATAAGTAAGTTTTCACTTGGAATTGGAAGCTTTACTAAGTGAAAGCTATAAGAAGAATGTTTAGAAATTTTTAAAAGAAAATAAAGACGACCTTACACCCTGTTTATAGCATTCATTAAATTCATAAACGTATAACAATAAGGGTTATTAACATTTAAATTACATGACATGTGTAGAAATTTTAAATGTTCCTTTTGTTGTTGGGGCAAACGAATATTTCTGAGTCTATCTTAGTTCTATATGCACTGCGCTCACGTTGATAAATATCAAATCACTTACAGCTCTATTCTAACTTCATGTTCANTGATAAATATCAAATCACTTACAGCACTATTCTAACTTCATGTTCAGCTACAAATTAGTATGGGTAGATACGTGTGATTCAGTTAGTTGTTTTATGTATTATTCGCATTTATAAACAGACGTTTCACTAGATTAGTCTAGTTCTCACGGTTGAAATTTCGCATAATGGAGATTATACTATTTTCTTCTAACTTAAAACAGACTATGTAATTGTAAGATGAAAATAATACTGTTTGCGAGACAAATGGTCATTTTCCACACAATATAAATACATGTATATATGTATAAATATCATTACAACTAGTTTAAGATTATTATTATAGTAAGTTAAGCAGAAGGCACTAATGTATTTAAATTATTTTTTGTGTAATATAATATATATTATACGTCAGAAATTCAGCTTAAGTATAAGTATCTGTCTTAATTACAGAATAACTTTCTGTTTTAGATCTCACGATTTATAGATCAACTGATATTAAATTGAACAGAATACTTTGAGAGATTTAGTGGGAAAGTAAAAAAAAAATTAACTTAAATAACATTAAAACAGCTTGAAAACGAACCATTTTCAAGATAAACTTTCATTAATACATAGTAAAACGGTTTGGTCTTCATTAAAAATTGTTGAGACAATATTTATAATAAAAATTCCATAAATAAGTATTAAAATTAAAATACTTGGAGTATATATTTGCATTTATGTACCACAAGAATCTATAGTAATAAATTATTTGTCATATGTAAACATATTAATTACTTTAGAGCAAAGTTAATTTTTTTTTTTTAATAAAAAATCAAATTACAACTAAATGCTTTTGTTTTCTATTTAAAAAAAATTAACATCTTATTGATAATAATTTTTCATAATAATTATAATAATATATATCTCTTAAATTAAACATTCCTTAAAAGAGTTTGAAAATAGATTTTTGCAAAATGATCCAACTTTGACTACAATGATAAAACTTTTTTTAAATATTACATTTAACATTTAAACAGTACTAATATTGATGTAATATTGTTCTTCAATAAATTAACGACACATAAAACTTAGGTATTTAACAAATTAAAAATAACGGCATTTTTTTCCATAGTCATTGATGGCTTTAATTTTTAAGATATAAAAGTGTATCGCTCATTCTCTAATTTTTATTGATAATATTAAAATGGTCTTACTTGTTGGTAAAATTAAAACTAATTTATCATCTAATGTACATGAAGATATCAAATGTGTCTCAAATAAAAATGAGATCTCATATTACGTCTAGGCTGTAGTTTTAAAGGTTATAGCTAACATATTAAATTGATCATTTTATAGCACTTATAGTGTATTACTTTGAATCCTATTGTTTTAATATTAGTCTAAACTTTTTATTTTTGTGGATATATTTACAACACACACAAGGTAGAACACTACAAGAGAAAATCTGTTTGGATGTAACCTTTAACACTTCTACGGGCTGCGTTAACCCCCGAGCGAGGAGAGTAGTTTTGATACTATAAGTTATACCATATTAATACACGAGAGTATAATTACGTAAAATAATTATGTTTTATTATTCTTATTTCCTAATATACATTAACGTTTAGTATAAATGGTAAACTGTGCACATTTGTTAATATGAAACTTAAACTAGTAACACCAGTATGAATTAGCAGATAGTATAGTAAAATATTCGGTGTCAAATACATGTAGTCGAACATGACAAATCTTTACAATCACATAAAATGATTTGAGAAATTTTTCAATTTTTTCTGTGACATTAGAGTTCAGTCTAAAGTGAGTTTATTTCTGGACTGGTGAGAAAAAAAACTTACATACCATTAACTGAAGGAATAGTTAACACAAAATGTTAAGCTTCTTGAAAGTCTGATTTTTATTTTTAAGAAAGCGAAAGTGTAAAATTTCCAATAGGTAAATTATGACATAACACATCATCCCCTGGAGGTAGTTAAAATATACTATAGGTTCTATTTAATATGCTTAAGTGAATGATTAAAGGATTAATTTTGTTTTTTGACAAATTAATAATTGGAAAAATTAAACTTTAATGTAACCATAGCTTGAAATTTTTCTATTAATTGAATACTCATTATAGACCATGTAAATAGGTAAATATATCCTAATAGGTTTTTACGATGTATCAGTTTTGTGGAAAATAAACACATTCCAGTTAATATTAAATTCATTAAAGATAATTTATAATAGATTTTTGAACTGATCATTCCAATAATTTAATTCAATTAAATTTAACATGACGAAAATGTCAAAAATAATAATGAGACACTTAATATTCAGTGATATTCCCCTTATAATCTGATGATTCATAAAAATTTTCCATTTTTAATTTCCATAAATTTCGATTATGGTAATTAACGAGTCTCGTTTAACATTATTAAATTATTCGTTTAGTCAAATGAGCCGAGTTCATTATTCAAATGAGTGTAATGTATTAATTGAACGGAATAAATTGAATATCATATGAGACCAATCTGTCAGGAAATTCGTTAATCAGTATAATTGATACACTTGTGTTGTGATGGGTTATTAATGTTTAGTCTGAGACAACAGGCGCGGCGTTAAATTAAAAGTAATCGTCTCGACGTCGTCCACACGCTAGTGAAAGTGCAATAAACGCAACGTGAAATCACTGTGTCCGAGACTATTCGTAAAGGTTAATATAAATCTTGAACTCCAATGTTTGTTTTAGCAAATTAAAAACGCCACGTTAAGTATAAACTCATCAATGTTGGAGAGTTATAATTGCACGCTTTTTGTTGATACTAAATAGTAATTATTGTTTTTATGCGAAACAAGAAATGGCCCACGGTCTATAGAAAAAATTTAATTAAATGTTATAAAATAATTTATTAGCTGTATACGAAAATTCACCTTAAAATTATTATATTCTTAGCTGTCAGATGAATATCATATTCGCACTGCACGCTAAACTGTTTCATGAGTTTTTACAGTACATTTTAAGGCTCATTTTTTCGTAAAGCATAACTGCATATTATTATTATAATCGCATTATCTTTTAAATCGTGTTCGCTAATATTACAACAATAGTTAAACTCTTGTGAATTGTAACATGA